TGTAAAGTAAAAATTGATGCAAAGAAGAAGTTGTGTACTTGATCCATGCAAGTAACAGAAAAAGAAATAAAGTAAACGCTAGAATCCTAATGTGGGTTAATGAATTTACGGGACCGCATTTACCCGAAATTCATTCATCAATTTTATGAGAATGATGAAAATCAATATGTAACGAGTTCACATGGTCATGAAATAATTTTACAACAAAACTTTTTTCCACTCTCATAGTGAGCCTTGAATTAAGGATCAGGGTAAAATCGAGATAGACGACTACTCATTATAAGCTGTTAATCAAATGTGATGAAATAAGAAAATAGTGTCTTGTTTGAGGAAACATCACGAAATTTCCTACTTGTGAGTATTCTTCTTGTTGAAAGAGTGGTTGAAATGTGACAAAATTGATCTTGATAACAGATCTTGAAGTTATACACCAAGGGCATTGAGTTCAATGAAGTCCACAGACGCTTAATACATGACTGAAGTGTTATAACGTGTTCATATATATATATATATGACACTTTATAACACGACCATTTTGGAATCTATCTCATATATTTTTATACTCCTTTTTCCTAACTTACTTAAAGATTGACTTGTATTACACATTTAAGTAAAATCACAAGTAAATTTTTTTAAAGTCTTTACATATATAAGCTATATATTATCTTTTATGAGAAGGAATGCATAAATTCTAAGACTAAAGCAATTTTTGTAATCTCTATACTGATATTTCCTTTTAAATTTTTGGGAAAAACGGCAACGAGTTTGATGTTGAAAGATCCTTAAGTTTTCAAATGAGTTCAAAAACTTGACACTTTGAGGGCACTAGCTATCACTAGCTATAACTAAAAATTGTGCCTTGATCCCTTCAGGCACTTTTTGTCCGTTTACTCCAGGGGTTCGATCTTCTTTGTAGAACGGCGAAAATAAATATTATCGAGGGAATCTATATACGAGATGTGACTTTTCCCGTACCAAAATCAGTTTCAAGTAATGATACCTACTATATGGATTTCACCGACGCCATCACCTTATGGAATTTGACAAGCTTGTTATAGTTTGCGTCTCCTTCAGATTATACTCATTGGTGATAACATCGTTTGAAGTGTTTGCGATCTAAGCTCGCTTCTGAATATTGTTAAATGGAAGAACGTTCAGTTTGAAAGAATTAAAATTATAAAGAAGAAAAAGAAGAAGAAGGGAGAAATCTGTGATGCATTTATAAATAGGAATTGAACTGTTGTGCATGGACCATTCGGATGTTCCCGAAGGGACAACTGTCGTGCTTGGACATGGAGTTCAAGCACGCTTGCTAAGTAGTAATGAGCGGTGCATCGGTCACGGTAGGAATTGATAGTACCGAGTTCAAGGATACTCGGTTGAGTGGTACCTGTTCCGTTTCGCAGTCACGTGCTTCTTGCAATGCACACCGTATGCAAATGCAATATAAACGTTACGTACTTGGGGTACAGCCACAAACTGTACAAAAGGTCTTTCAACCTGACTACAGAGTACAGAATCTTCATTGTATTGTGAATCCTATCAACACATATCTTCCGAGCTGGAAGTCATGAAAGCGCCGAGAGTGAGTTCAGCTGGTTAAATGCGCAGATAACGCAGAAGCTGATTTCGCTCACATATCTCTAGCAGGGAGTAGAAGGAACAACTGTGTCCAATACTTTAGGCAGGAGCTGCATTGAAGATGGAAAAAGGGTAGTGCAATTTTAAAAGGAAGTCATTGCACGCCCTTTTGTCTCTGAACAGAGCTATCTAAAGTCTTTGCTGAGGGCGTACGTGCTTTGACGTGAGCGGTAGGTTTTCAGCGAAAAAACTGAAGGTTTGTCGAATTCCTCTGACGGTGGACGGTGCAAGCCTACTTTTGCCTCTCCTTTTTTGATGGTCCTCTTCCGGCTATTTGTCCAGCCTATACCTTGAAGGTGGATCTGATAGCTCGTAATGATCAAGGCAATTTCTCGCCGCCATCGCTCCATGGAAAGGTTCACAATAACCTTCTCCTGAGTTCATGAGAACATGGAACAAAGAACCAATGATAGTTTTTCTTTTGATTTCTATTTTTAACTGACAGATTCGAGAACTGCTATAATGTGTTGCGAGAATCCACAAACCCCTTAGGCTCAATGGTACGAACCACCGGTACTTTGGAGGGGAGGATGCCTTTGGTCGGGATCCAAGGGTTATACAACGCTTGAAGTTTATTTTCCTCGTGCTTCATTTTCCCCCATTTGCAATGCTCTTTTCTTCAAGCGGATTTGTTGTTTATAACTTCAACATACTCCATATAATCAAGCGTTCTGTTTGGTGGCCAAAGTATTCACTACAAAATGAGTCAAATTTGTCATCACAAATGGTCATCCAACCCCCATCAATATCAGTAGGACTGGTGATGTCCTTTCATAGCATATCAATCCTTCTATGTTTCTTACAATATTTGGACAAACCAAGCTCGGTAAGGAAATCAACATACAAGATCTAGAATAGGTTTCGATGCGTGCTAGATCATATCTACGCTTATGGGTAGGAATCTAGATTGGTATTGACATCTAGAATGATATGTGCAATTGCGCTTTTGAAGTTGCTGAGAAGAATGGAAGGTGGTAAGAGAGAATAAATGATCACTGGTCCAGTTTTGATATGTTTACGAACATGCCAAAAGGTTTGAATGCTTCCAGACCTGTACACTCAAAGGGTCATGATTGGTAGAGTATTGTAGATGGATACTAGTATGATGTTTTGTGGTTTGGACTTATTCACCAGCTTTTGATAAGAAATTAAAGAACTGCATAAACTTCTGACCGATCGCATTGCAAGCCTGGGGAATCGATCCTTGAAGCCATAGAGTGTTAGAAGTCAACTCCTGCTAAATATGTTTGTGACTGCTGTTTTCACATCCTCCGAAACGATACATGGAATGGATGTCTTTCCAGAGCCCCGCTGCTGAAGCTTTGAAGGTCTCCGCAGCTCCGCTTTTTCTACGACTTTTACTGGGGTTTATCATGAGTAGGCTGCGTCAGCAACTCACCAACTTTGCAGGAGCTGTGTTGGTATGAAGACAAGCAAATCTTATGGCAGTAGGGAATGAACTGCTTCGTAGAAGATTTTATACCCTGCCAGAATATGTCAGCTAACGAACGTTGTTGATGTAGTCCCTGCGAGACGAGGTATCATAAGTTATGATACCTCGTCTCGCAGGGACTACATCAAATGGTCCGCCACGGGTTATGATTCATAAGCCGTGGCGGACCATTTCTTCTCCAGAAGCTCTAGCAAGTACGAAGGAGTACACAACAATCATGTGTGCACCCTAGAGGCAAGTTCGTCATCATATTCAAGCCTGCCTGCTTGTTCTGAGTCCTGACAGTGGCTGCAGCTCTATGCCTCGTCGGATTCAGGCATGCGAATTCCAGTGTCAATTGCAAGAACTATGAGAGGTTCGAAATGGCAGTCGGTGAAGCAGAAGAGCCACCAAAGACGCACCATGTGGCATTTGCATGGAAAGTGGCATAACTAAGTAGGCTTTCATCCGATTGTCTGTCGCGCAACCAATCAATCGCCTCGTCTATCTCAAGCAGTCAAACCGGTTTCGATTACAGTTTTTCAACCATAAAATTTGTGATAGTAGTTTCTTGACGCAAGACTTGCCTTGGTAATGAATGCCACCGAGCTCCACTTACCTCCTGTAAGGTTGAGTCTTACAGTCTGCTTAGATGTGTCACGGCAGCTCAGATTCTGACTTGCTACAACAAAAAACTCGTTGTGGTATGTCTGAAGACAAGCAAACCTTCTTAATCTCTAAAGTCACGAGACTACCGGTATTGCATCTTATGCATGCCGTACTGATAGTCTATCGATGGACTGGATAAAGAGCTGACGAGAACAGGTAAAAAAAAAAAAAGGAGGGGAAACACATCTTTAGAACCATAGCGCTTCGTGCAAACTGGTCAGGATTGCAGTTGGGCGTTTAATAACTTTCGAATAGAATGCATCTTGAGGATAAGGTAAGGATTTAGACCCAATCTCCTTAGAGTCACTCGATTGACTGCCAATCCAGGTATTGTTTCACTAGATTCACAACAATGACGATTCAGCATGATCGAAAGGATAAATATAAAAGAATATAAAAGGATTCATGTAGTCTGCCTCAAAATTGTCTCATGGTCCAAATCTATTTCAAAGCGAATCAGAAGAGATATGTTTGCTTTTCTGATTAGTTTCCTCTTTATAGATGTTATCAAATTCCTAACCAATTAGAACCTAAGACTCTGTAAAATTACCATAAGTTTCAGACAGACCTGAACTTTGAATGAAGGCCGTGAAACCTTTTGAAAGCATTGGACACTCTAATCAGAAGCATGAAGTCTCGCTCGCTGTTAATGATTTCTTTAGATCAAGTATGGTTACCCTTTGGGCAGAAAACACGGTTTGATGATTGCCGCCAGGCTGTGACATTGTGTTTCAAGGCTTATGTTGGGAATGGTAGTTCGTTAACCGAGAAAAGTCCTTGGAGAACCAATTGAAGTTGCTTGTTTGTGAGGAGTCAAAGCGCTCACTGAAGCAAAGCTGGAGGAAGAAAAACCCGCGTACTTGCCAAACTCTGTGCGCAAACTGGGCTCTTTAAAGCACACAGATAGAATTATCAAGGTAGACAGCACGTACTGCCACTAACAGAACATCTGAGTGAACGTGGATCATACTGATGAGGCTTACTTATTCACCAAAGGCGACCTGAAGAGTGTATCGACTGAACCAACCCAAGAGGTACACATGACATGTGCAGTGCCATGAGTTCACTTCAGTAATGACTTGGCACTGAGTACGGGCATGTCCAGGGTCAACCTCTCTACTGGTAATGGCCTCCTCAGCGCACTCTGTTGGTCTGTGGATTCGAAGGTCATTGGTGTGAACCGATCATCTTCATGATCGCCTTCAATCCACAAACCATATTCTTTGGACAGATTGGGTGGAATGCCGTAGGACCCAAGTGCAGTAGAGTAGCTACTGTATCCTTGTACAGAGTCTGTATGTGCAGGCTATGACCTACCTCTACTCATGGTGTCTCATTTTCAACGCGGATTGTCGCAGGTCTCATGGTTGGACATGGGTCTGAACAAGACACAGAGATACCAGCTGAGGCTTGTACAGCGTCTCCCCTGATCGATGCAGATCCCCTCTTCTTAGAGCACGCTAGATCATGTCATATCATGTTGGTGTCCAGACAGCTCCTGAGCTAGCATTCAGTTCTCAAGAGTGAACTGAGCGGTGGAGACATTAGAACTTACTTGAGCAGGATTTTCGATTTTGCAGAAGTGTCTGCAGCATGAGCACTTGATTCAGCAGCGGTCAGAGCATCTTTGTTAGCTGGCTTCATGAATCGTGCTTAGAGTTTCTTTCGCTTGCCATTCTGAACGGGGAGCAGCGTATGAATGAGCCAACTAGTCACTATGTAAGGCCGAAATACCCAGTGTTTCAGAGCAACCGATTTGTGTGTGTGTTTTTCTACGAACTCCCCTGTATATTCTACCTAGAATGTTGAAAGTAAGAGATGTGCTTCGTGGTGTGAGGAATTGAGTATTTTCGAAGTGGTGTGATTCGTGGAAATTCAGTAATTTATGATAGATTTTACGTCTTGATCAAATTGGCAGACTCTGTAGCCAGAACTGCATCCCGCAGAATGTTATCTGATGGCTTTATGCATCTTCCCTATGGAAGTATGATCTCGATTTCACCTCCACACAACTGATCGGTAGATGAACTTGATTCTCCACAGCAGTGCTGACAGGATACATGACAGCGACAATTTCAATTGCATCATGATCTCCAGTGAGGTCAGTCGCTGAGTTGACCTAGAAATATGCAGCTCATATAAAGACTAGTTGACCGGTCTGAGTTGCAAGGGATGTAAACGGGTGAAAGTATCCGTGGACCTCTGATCTTTTGAAAAAGTCGTTTCTTTTTCCAACTCCCGCTGAGGGACCTCACCAATGAATCTCCCCGCACAGACATGACGGCAGTCTGATTAGTCACTCTTGTAGTCCTGTCTTGTAGATGTTGACCCACCAATGTTTTCTGCTCAAGGGTTGAAATTGAGGGACTTGAGTCCTTGAGAGGTCGTCTGGAGGGAGTCCGTTGGGGTCGACCTTGGAGTAGGTAGATGCTTAGCCAAAGCGCATTATGATCATAAGTGTTCTGTCAGAGCGCGACAGTTGGGCGCAATTTCACCTTAAAACTCCGGGTCTGGGACTGAAGGCGAGTAAGCGAGCAGTATTGTTCACAGCGATGTGCGCGAACGATGTGGCTGACTAAAGACTGGGCATTGATGATTGCTTTAATCGATGTTAATCGGCAATCAATCAGTGCTCATTTCTATTGCTCCTACACATAGGTCTGAGACATTGCAGATGTCAGAAAGCTGTTAGCCTCAGTTCCTCTTTTTGCAACTGGTTGTGCTGTTCTGTAAACAGAGGAATGAGATCGCCAACTCCATTCCAGACTATCAAAGATGTCCTCCACGACAGTTTGAAGTCTTGAATGTTGAACCCATGAAGAACAACTTATGCTCCTAACGTTTTGAATTGACTTCTGATTCGAATAGCTTGAGGTGAAGACTTTTGTTCAATTTAAAGCGAGCTGCATCCTGAGGTCCGTCTAAATGGGTATGTGAGTATGCAGGCTGATGACGGTGGATTCAGTACGAGTTCACTACTGCTGAATAAATTGCAGAAACTGAACAAAGCAGAAAGTATAGATCTAAAGCTTTGTAAACCTCAGATACAATGATGATCCCATCTATGTTGTCGTGCGAACAGGCTGTGAACTACAAAATTTAGTCTGACTCTGCAAATCATTCCAGGAAATAACTTCTCAACGCCCATTTGTATTTCAAGACGGAGTTATTGCAATGATATTTTGCCAAAGCAAAAGGGCTAGCCCAAAGTCTTCTATGATAGAGGCTTTTCTGCACATTATCTCAGCGTGGGTCAGAAGTTTAGAGTGTCGTCTGTCAAACATGCTCCAGTAGAAAGTCTGTGAGCGTAGCAGAGATGTTATTATCTTCTCTTCTCTTGCGAATGTTCCTATCACTACCAGCATTCTTTCTCCGGGCAACGGGTACGCGTTTGTTCAAGAGGTGCCTTCCCAGCATGACAAGAAAATAGGAAAATATATTCTGACCTTGAAATCTCGACTTCAAGACTTGGCAGGCTGATAGTTTCTGCACTTTATTTAATCTTTTATTCTTGCAGCTTGTTTCAGAGTGTGTGGTAAAACTCTCTAATCACCCGTATATTGGGAGAAGGGCCGGCTACAGAATTCAATGACTTAACGAGATTTCTGACATCCGTTGCACTTATTCGTGTACAACTCTTAGTTCATATTCTCTGGGAACCCTGCAGTAACGTGTTCGGAGGTGCTGCAAATTACACTACGATCATTCTACGATATATTGGGGAGTAAGACTTTAGACAAGATTTCCTTTGCAGTGGACTGACGAGAAGTGCCCATAGAAAAGGTGCCAGCATCTAGATTAACTAGGGCCACATACGCTAAGCGCGCAATTCCGCTCACCTAACTGGTCTCACGACAATCCAGCTCCAACTGATGTGGACTGCTGTGACAACTGAGCTCATACAGAAATTCTGCGGTTCGAATTGACATGTCAGGAAGGTAAACTTATTCCTCTGTCCTGCTTCTCAGCACAGCTGGCGTCTCCTTCTCTTCAGCTAGCATGCTTTTGCAAATTATGTGGCTCGTTCTGAAGCTCGTTCTAAACAATCGACGATCGATCTGATCTCTGTTCACAGAAAATAGCTTTGTGATATCCGTTACGTAAAAGCCTCATGATCCCAAAACTCGCATGTAGCACATGCGAGTAAAGGAGACTTGAACAGGTACATGGTTATTGAAAGTGATGAAAAGGTTGGGTACTCTACACACCTTTGGCATATTACTGTTGATTGTGGGTAGGATGGTTCAGCTGTTCTCGGCTAGGCTGACGAACACTGAGTAAGAGAGAACGGTCAGCCTGCGTACAGAAACACAGGGAATTGCACGCTGACATACTTTCACCCGAAACAATTTCAACCTTGTTTTGAAATACTGATTTCTCATTGTCAGAAACATAACTGAGGCATATCCTCGTTGAAAAAAAGAATTCAGAAGAGGAATGAGATTCTTGAATCGCTTATCCAAGTGTAGAAGTGTTCATACTCCAAGGATGACTTCGGAGCTTGGAAAATGAAGAAGTACTCCAGTTGAGACGCTACTCATCTAGTCAGTGGGAGCAATTTGGTCAGCATGGCACGACTGTAATACTGTACGGTATCGTACTGAATGACCGACATGGGCACCTCGTCAATGTTGGCGAATGATATATTTGTCATGACTGCAAGATTTGCTGCAGACCTCGTTCTGTGTCCTACAATGTGAAGTTCCAGATCCCAACGAGTTATTGATTGCAGTGCATAAATGACGACTACTTTAAGTGTAAGATCGTAAAGGCCGATCCCTCAGATGATACCGGGGAATGCATGTCAGAAGTCAGAACTTCATTATTGGACTTGGTATCTCTGATGAGCTCACATCTTGTCTCCGATCACTCTTGATAAAATCAATGGTAGAAGTCAACGCTTGTTTACTACGGTAAAGCATTCCGAAGGCAGATTTGACACTTAAGTTTCTCATCTTACACAACGGGCGATGAAAAAAATAAAACGTGGATTGCAGATCAAGAAAAACTGGACTCATGGAATACAAGCCCGCTTGCAGAAACTTTCAAAACACTCTTAAACATGCCGAGCACAGGTTGGACCCCGACGGCAACGACAAGCAGCGACAATCGCCGCTGAGCTTTAAAACCTCCGGACGACAGGGCCGTAAGGGCTGAAGTACTATGAGTGAGTTCCAGTGTCAATCTACCTTTAATGCATTTGGACTTGACACGGAGACATGTAGTCAGAACGACATCAAACTTGTGTAAAGTTTCTCCTTGTCAAGAGTGATGCGATCTAGTATTGTTTTGGTGTCGTCGATAGAAAAGCAATCTTCTCGAAAGATCTGCTTCTCTCGCATCGGAACGATGCTACTGTCTCGAATCCAATGGAAACTCATGAAGGTTATTTGGTCTTTTTCTCTTTCAGACTCTGTCCTGAGTCATGACGACTCTTAAGTAACACATTCACATGCACTCTTCAACAAACACACACAAAACTCATTACTGCAGTGAACTTATTGCAGTATGTTTGGAGACAGAAGGCAAGTTATTCATGGGAATGCTTCGCGGCATGGTTTTTTGACACGTTCCAGCAGTTGTGCGAAGGTGTCATAAAAGCTCTTCCATACCTACAGTAAAAGAGGAAGCTTTATTATGTAGGCTCCACCTCTGTTAGCTGTCATGACTTGTCCCTCATTTCTACCTTGAGGATAGAAGGAGTCTCTCTGTCAGGTGGCGCTTTCTTCCACGTTGAAATCACGGGCTGTCAACAAGGAGTTTCAAGGACCGGGTAAGACCCGCTTGAGGTCGAATCTCATCTTGTTCCCCATGAGTGTCAGTGTATGTCCGAGCCCCGCAGACGAATGCGCTTTGTGCTGTTTAGACTGCATCACTGATTTCGTTTGTAACCTCGTCGACTGTTGGACAAGTTCATTGAGCGAATCTGAGCCCCAGAGGAGGATGGGCGATTTTCACTCTACACTAACGTGTTTTGACGGTAATTCTTGAAGCATCATTTGAAGTTGAGGCAGTCAAGACTCTTATCAGTATGAACCATAGACTCAGAGACTGATTCACGAGTGTAACATTTCTCGACATTGCTCCGGTTGCAGGAAAGAAATTTACGTAGTCAACACTGTCTATTTCGGACACTATCTATCTCAAGCAGGAAAAATATTTCTTTACATCTATATACATACTGCTAGCTTGCAGCCAACTGCAACTGATGCATGTCCTCATGAATCACTGTCATTGGTTTTCAGACTGCTTAGCGTCTTCAAGAACTGACAAACATCCAAGTGTAGATAGGCTCAGATTGACCTTGAGGACCTCTTTCCCTCGGCCTGCACAGCTTGCCTTCGTCTGATTGGTGGACATCAATAGTCACAATGTAGTAATTATTCATGTAATCAGTCTATGCGCTCCTCTGCACCAGGAATTCCCCGGGAACAATCGACGTTTTTCAAGTCCAGACGTACAGTATATCGAAGCGATCTTGGAACTGATCCCGGTCTGCAGCGTGCAATTTTGCAAATGTACGGTGATCATTTAAAGGGATTAAGTACTAGATTATCAATTTTTATTCTTCAGGCTGCCCAGCTCTTAAGGCAAAGACAGATGCGCTTGTCAGGTTTTCAAGCACTGCTTTGCTGCTTTGCTTTGCTGCTAGGAAGGCAAACCTTTCCGAAGAAGAAGAAGTATATTTCGATATGGGTCTCCATATCGAAATATGGAGACCCATATCGAAATGGGGTGGAAAACGAAAACCTCAGGATGGAAATGTCTCTGAGGAGTGCTAGTTCGACATGTCCTCATTCTGGAAGCAATGCAGATGCAACGTGGTTGACTACAGTTAGGGATTATCATGTTTGCCGGGGCATAATTGCACAAGTCTTTCGTCATGTCTTATATCGAGAAGCCTAGAAGTCTCCATAATCTGCGGCTTCAAAAGATCTTTCATCTCTAGATTCCCTCAAGAAAGCTAGAAGCTTCATGAGCCCTCCAAACAGCACTATTTTCAATTGTCTGGTAGCTATTATCAAATTGTGTGGCTCCCAAGTTCAGTATGCTGAAAACATCACAGCCTTCACCCAAGTTTCAAATTCTCGAAAGCTTGAATATTAGAACCGGCAACATTAGGCTGAGAGCATCTGAAGTGTGCGAAAGTCCAACAAGTTGTTAGACGGTAAGGAACAAACGTGTTCAGGTTTTAGCCTGCACACCGTTCTCCTTGTCTACAGCAAGCTGTTCAGAGGCAAACTCTAGCCTGATAGTTGTAGAACAGAAAGCTTCGGAAGCCTGAGTATTTTTACCCTCCTGCAGGAAAGGAATCTGCTGAGATATCCCAGTGACTCTTTACCTTGTCAATCGAATGATACCCAGTGAGTCAGTTACCTTGTCACGGCTTTCAGTATTCACATGATTGCATTTCCTATCCTGAGCAGAGCGTGCAGCAGTTTCAACCCCTGATCCTTGCAGCTTGAGATGGAATTAAATCTTTGAAAGCTTTTCAAAGACGTCTTAGGCCGCGCAAATTTGAAGTCATTGTTGGATGCTGAGAGAAGAAAGTTAATTTGCACACCCGTAAATTGAAGAGAAAAATAAATCGGATAACACGATTAGTCCACAACGGAGAGAAGTAATAAGCATTTTTTAATTTTGAAGTGAAGGGTTTTGAGGAATTATCTTGTGATTAACTTTGCCCGACTGAACTACTGCACAAGTCAACTTGATACTTCTCTGTTGTGGAAAATCAATTGTAGAGTTAATGGTCTCGGCACTCGGCCTGTAGAACGTGTGAGCTCGGAACACCTGTTTGAGCCCACAAGAGACCGGCCACACGTTAAGAAATTGATGCGGCCTCCGAAAAACAGGCGGGGGGTAAAGTATACCTACTGTAGAACGTGTGCAACTGCAACGACACTGTTATCCGAAAGGATTCTTCCACAAAACTCTGAAATATGCTGATAGATTCAAGTAAATGCCACAGGTGTTGCCTTGTCTTTTCACGTTAAATCAACCGCGTACTGAACTGATCATACCGCTGCAGAAGAACAACCTTAAAGGCCTCAATGGGTCCATGCTAAGAATTCCCGTAGTCAACAAAGCGTGTTTGCATTGTAGATTTAAATACTTGTAGCAGTGGATGGAAACAGATAAAACCAAAGGAAAGACCATTTTGATAGCGAAATGAGTTTCATATGTTTTCTACTCGTAGCCTCTGATCATTTGGAAATCAAATTGGCCGGAATGTAAAAGCATCTCCTATTCAGGTCAAATCATTGGCTCAGCTGTGGCGACCGTCGTCGGCTGTTCGGCAAGTTGAAGTAGCATTTCGTCTCGTTTTTCTCAAGGGTACGTCATCCTCTTACCATACTGCAGCATAATAAATAATGTCGCTAACTGGCTCGATCTTGGGCGGCACAAATCACTATGTAGACAGAGAGAATATGGAGATTAATAACTCCGCTGCAACTTGGGTACCAGTCTGTTCCGGCCGGAGATTACCCGCAGGGTCCGGAAGTCTAGAGCAGTCCTCACCCCCAAGACTCGTGGAGCTCCAAACCTGCACCGGACATCTTCTGCACCCTCAAATCAACTCTCTCATCTGCTGGTTGCGCTGGATTGTCGAGATGTACTCCAGACGTGCACAGAACACTCGTCTTAGTTTCTCGGTCCAAGCGTCGTCTTCCCCTTTGTGGACATTTCAGTGCGCATTTATTACAGGCGCGGATAACCTTTGCTGTAAGAACGATGCTCGCGGCGCTCGTCAGAGCTTCAGATCAGCTTGTACCCGACGAACCAATCGCTTGCCATTTATTACCATGCATTTCTCCAATCTTGACACCCATGAGCCACTTCCTTCTCATCTATCCAGAGGACGGCATGTCGACCTCGTCAAGTCATGATCTCCACTAATGATGTTTGTGAATTGGAGAAGGTGAATCAACTGACTCTGAAGTGGGTGGTCTATTACGACCAGAATCACGATTCGAAAGAGATTGGGCGAGCTAGATCGAGTGAAAAATGGGTCATCAAGATAGAGAAGGAATCGCTTTCTGCAGAAGTCATCATGCAGAAACAGACAGCCACTTGCACCCGTAGAGTAGAAAGCCTTTTGATGTGTACGCATACTCTGCGAAGAATCCTGTTGCAGTCCAGTACTCTGTACTGCGGTGAATGTCCCGGCAGATGCCAAGATGCCCATGCTCTTGATCAAGAAGGACATTCGTACGTGGCAAGCACAGACCTTCTCCAGGTGTCAATTACACGAGTACTGTCAGTTCCAGATTATTTTCGGCGTCCAACAATTTCCACGAGTTTTTCTTTTAGCCTTCACTTGCATTGCTTTTGGATGAGCAATTGTAAGGAAATTATGTATAGTTCCATTAGAAAGTATATGTATTTCGTCGAAGAATACATCAAAAAGTAATATATATAGTATCTTAACGGCACTTATTGTCACCAAAATTAATTCGATGATATGACTCAATATCGTGTTGTATACTTATATACATAAAGCACCTTTACATTTAATTATTTGACCATTGAGTGATATGGTTTCAACTTGTGTGATGAGAGTCATTTTATTGTCAAGAATGTTGGTTGAATTCAAGATCCTCACTACCTGATGTTAGGGTTGTGAATTTAACAAACAAAAATGTAGACAATCTTGTATATTCATTCATACTTTAAAATGAGCCTTTACGATAAGTTTTGGACTTTCAAAATCTGTTGGCTAACACATAGTTTGAATTGCATAGCCTTGAAAAAGCTAACAAATATAACTCACAATTGGTTTTGGGGAGAACATCTATAGAGATTAACATTTGAAGTTGAGCTTATTTTGAGTAGGTTATTCCGATGATCTTCTTACAGTTTTTTTCTATCCATATGACCTGTTTACTGATTTTGTGGAGATAAGTGAAAGGTTGGACTCTTTCAATTACACAAGTACTAAGTTGTTGAGTTTGGAATTTATGAAAAGCAAACATGAGTTTATAGTGTATGTTGTATATTATGCAGATCATAACAACAATGTAAGTATATTAAATTGATTATTTTTCAAAGTATGATTTGGTGCCGTCTTTTCCATTATAACTTTCTGAAATTTTCATTTATCTAGATAATATGTATATTCAAGCAGTATTTCACACATCATGAAGATTTCTTTAAATTATAAGTATATTGAAGAGGTCATTCCAATATAAAAATATATAGAGCTGAATACATAAAGTACAAATGAAAGTTTTAGGAAACCAAAATGAAATGCAAAAGCTGATTGATTTTGATAAATTTGGAATTTTTTTAAAACGAAACCTTCATCTCTTCAAAACTAAGTTATCTGATGAAAATCTCAATTACGTATTTCAAATTTATTTTTTATTTTATGTATCCCAACTATAACATAATGCAATATAAATAGAAAGTGATTTATGAATTGATTATTCTTAATGATAAAGTTATGTTTGAGTACCCTATCATTTATTACGTTCTTGTAGATTATAAGATAATTTTGATTCAAAGAAATTTCAGAACTTATATATTTTTAATTAATTCAGGTCTTGTTGGGCCCTAATTTGTTACACAATGTTTTGTTAGACTAATTAGCTATTTCTACATAAGAATGTTAAAAAAATTCCTTGTAAGACAAATTGAATTTCAGTTAATGACTTTTTCTTTTTCTTTTTTAACTTATGACTACGCTGAATCATGTTTTGCTTTTATTAACTTTTTAGAAAATTTTATCACTGTGTATTTCGAGAGCAATTAAATTCTGAGTTTGAGAGCTACTAATGGCAATCTTGACCAAGGATTATTATTATAATTACCAATTTTGACGAAAATGTAAATTTGAGTATTTCAAACAAACCTCAAGAAGTAAACAATCAACGTGTTTTGCATATTGCGCAATATTAATTTTTATCCAAACTATTAGTACTTTTTGATAGCAATTATTTGTGATTATAGATTCTCAACTGAAGATTCATGTGCTTTGAATTCTAAGTTTATGCTACATGACAATTTTTCTTGAAAGACTTCTCATCAACATAAACATAAAGATTGAATGAGAACGGAGGACTTTAAATTTTATTTCAGTCAAATTTGATTTTGATAATTCTCTCTTGTACATTATATATATATATATATATATATATATACTTACTACATACACATTAAGATGTATAAAGTTTGTAAAGCAACTATGATGCAAGAAGTTGCATATCTGCCAAACTTCACTACTGTAATGAGTTTTTTTTGCATTATCTAGTAGAGATTCTAGATGGGTGAAACCTTTACGAAGAATCAAGAGTAATAACGCAAAATCTTGATATAAATTTTAGAGAGATGAAACTTTTAAGAAAAAAGGTTGTAAGAAATTAAATGATTTTTTAGCTCAAATTAACTAAGTTGAAATGAGATAAATTTTATTTTTTATATATTACTTATGTAGATAAATAAAATTCTACCACTAAATAACAGAGCCAGCAAACATCTATGTGATATGATAAAGTATGATATATTGGTTGGATATAGCACGGATAGTTGAACTAAGTATATCCAATGTGTCTCAAATGGATGTGACTTTACTGTAACAAATGACGAGCACGATGGGGGCACACAATAGCAGGCAACAACGAGGAGCAGCCGCGGTGCGATAGCCGAATGCCGGGGCTGGCGAGAGGGTTCGACGGAATTGTGAGATGGAGACGGAGCGGGAGAGGAGAATCCAGGCCATTACCAGCGGATCCGTGCGGAAGCTCGGCAAAATTGAGAACGCGAATGCTGCCGAGAGTTGGATTTAAGATTTGCTCAGCGCCAACATCCCCAAGAAGATCGATGAGTGTGGAGTTGAGGAAATTCGCGCTAGGGCTTAACAAACGGTCGAGAGGCGTTGGAAGCAATGGCGGTTGCGGCATGGCCTGACAATCTGGCAACCATGGCCTCCTGAATCACCTCATCCGCTTGGCTCGTGCATGCTGCTGATTCAGGGCCCCGCTCTGCATCATGTAGACGCACAACGAGTCCGGATCTTGGCAGGCGAGCTCTCGCTGCGGGAGTCGAAAGAAAACTAGGGAAGGGCGAATTTTTTCGAGTATTTTTTGTCTCGAGGCGCTTCGTACTTATTATTTTCTCAGGATTTTTTATCTTTCTTGACTGAAGCTAGTCAGGCAATGAATCGAGGCCTTCGCGAGAGCTGTGTCACCGCAATCCTTCATGATTGAGTGAGCATTTATTCAAAAACCGGAACACAGCTCGCGGTGTGTGGAAAATGAATTCGGGAAGTTTGATGACCGACGAGGTTTGAAGGAAACAATCGGGAGAGGTGTGAATTTGGTTACAATCCCATCTTCTGTTCACCAATCTCGTTTCAACGACGGTCACTGCATTCTGCTTTTCTCAACTTACAAAGAATTAGCAAGTGAAATTCGATGCCGAAGTACCTCTAACGCAGCAGAGGAGCAAAGTTTCCCGGGGAATTAAGGTAAAAGCGAACGAGAGGAGTCTTTCACGAACATAAGATCTTTGGGCAACTGGCGTTGCCTTTAATTCACAAAACTGAAAGTGTGATTGTGATGTTGCTGCTGAGTGTTAAACTTTGTGAAAGGAGTTGGGTATAGACTGTGACGGATATATTCGAACCACCGAGGCTAATCACGAAAACATAGTTGATGAATATTAACGGAGAGTATTGGATAAACGAGACATTTATCGGCTGAATTGAAGGGACTTTATTGTGTCAACTGTGAAGAGCACAAGAGTGAGATAGAATTGCTGGAATATAATTGCCCAATTCGTCGTAAGCCTTCCGTCGAAAGGAAAAAGGATAAGTACTTTTCTGCTCTATCAAAGTATCAGCAGGCTATCGACGAATCTTCTGACTTCGAACCCAAACTTTGGCCCGCCTTCCTTTCGATTGAACGAGGTACAAGGACGGGTGATTATGGATTGCAAGATTTTTTCATTTCTTGAGCTGCAGTATAGAGGGGTATCCCAGTTCCTACAGATTCTAAGCAGACCATATATGTGTGGTTTGACGCCTGTTAGGTAACCTTTCAGCTCTTTTGAACAAACGTAAAGAACGTGTTGTAAACAATGCTTCTGCAGGTGGTTGGCCTGCATCCGTCCATAACGACAGGACATTTTGCGATTTCATGCTGTGTACTGGCCACTGATGCTGAAGTCCTCTGGTCTTCCTCTCCCGGCTGTTGTTTGAGGTCATGGGTTTTTGAACAAGGATGGTGTCAAAATGGGCAAGTCCTTGGGGAAGATATTGGATCCCAAGGACCTAGTGTCTAAGTTTGGACCCGAAGAGGCAATATACTATTTTCTTAGGGAGATAGAGTTTGGAAAGGATGGAGATTCAGAAGATCGCTTCATCAATATTGTCAATGTGAGTTTAGCCAAAGCGATAGAAAATCTTCTGAAAAGGACGCCTTGGACTCTTGAAAAAGAACTGCCATCGCAACGATAGCGGTAGATTCAAGCACTATTCCTGAAGACCACATAATTCTAGAAGTTGCTTTCGATCAGTGAAAACAGCAAATAGAAACTTCACCGGAAGAATCATTCGCAAGCATGAGATGCTTTGCTAGCTTTTGCCTTTGTCTAGGTTCAAAGATGGTGAATCCTCTGCTGAATAACCGGCGCTGGACTTGATTGTTGCTTTAGTAGTGGTCAAGATTGTGGTTGTTGGTTTGTTGTCCCCGAGTTTTACCTCAAAATTTACGATCGCCTCGGATTCTTTCAGGAACTTTTTAGTGCAATTATTTAGAAATATACCAAGTGGTATGATTTGAAGATGGGCAAGTCATGGTTGATGCCCAATCCATATTAAAAAAATGGAGTTTCTAGAAGAGAAAGTAAAAAAACCTGTTCCAAATGCAAAAGTCAAGAAAGTTATAAACTAGAGTAAGATGTTGAGTTCTAAACTGTTCTTCTATAAAAAAATATTAATTGAAAATATTTTCAAGATGAATATCTTAGTATTGTTAACTATATTTGCAACATATAATTCTAAAGCAAATGTATGAGTATACTGATTGATTATTACAATTGTCGTCTTATGTTTGAGTATAGATTGTTAAAACTAATGAATTTCAAAAAGAAAAAAATCTAGTTTTAAAAATCTAAAATCACATCTATGTTTTTTATGATCTTGAGATCTAAAAATTTGTGTAAGAAATACATAATAAAAGTATTTTTTGGGTTTTTAAACCCAAAAAATACTTTCTTATCTAAATAATTATCTGTATCTTATTAACCATTGTCATGTATGTTGTTTCATCGCGATAGATGATTTAGAATAAAATCATAAATATTTTGATAACTATTAATTTAT